TCTAGTTGAAGGAACCTATACAGGAAGTTATTTGCACAATATTTTATAGGTTTGCCTTGGATATCTAGTATTCAGTCACAACTATTTGCATGCCTGTGTGGCAATGACTGAGCAGACGGAAGAAGTTAGGGGTAAACAGGCAGATCAGTAACTTTTTTCTCCTCCCTCCCCCTAGTAACTGCAAGTTGCTGGTCAAATCAGATGAGCTGCCATGAAAAGGTTACTGGAAAAAGCTAATTTAATCTAGAAGAAGACATACATGTCCTGGTGAAACATCAACCTGATTTGACAGGGCAAATTCAAGCTTACAAAAAGACAAACAGGTGGAATGACTTTAAAAAAAAAAATAGTTCTCATTAAAACTGATCTTCAGGAAGAAGTGAATGCCATGCAGGAATAACTAATTACTGCAACATGCTCTTCAGTCATCCCTCTCCATCTGCTGAGACACAAAATTCTCACTGGAGGTAAAGACAGCACAGCGCTATTGGGAAGAAATCTTTCATCTTTCATCTGTGTCTTGCTCAAGACACAGACTCCTTCCTCAAACCAACTTCATTAACCTTTTTGTCGCTAGTGAAAAGCACAGAGCTGTTTTCCAATCGAACAGATTATATGACATAAAATCATCAGGTGCTGTTTTAAAGGTGAAAATAATTCACACTTTCTGAACAGAATTCGTTTTCTGTTATTATTTATATATAAATGATCCGTATTTAAAGAAGCTGTTACTTTCATTGCTCAGTATTTAGGACTAGAAGAAACGGCCACAAACTGAGGCATCGGAAGTTCCACAGGAACTTAAGGAAACACTTGACAGTGAGGGTGACACAGCCCAGGAACAGGCTGCCCAGAGAGGTTGTGGAGTCTCCTCCTTTGCAGATCTTTAAAACCTGCTTGGATGCAGCCCTGTGCCACATCCTCTAGGTGACCCTGCATGAGCAGGGGGGTTGGACTAGATGACCTCTGAGGTCCCTTCCAACCTTAAGCATTCCATGATTCTATTTCACCTAATTTCATCTAATTACTCAGTATTCCACCTAATAGTTTCATCAGAATTCAAATTACAATTTAAAATACATAATTTAGCTCTATTGAAACTTTTAACCAAAATTACAGAAATGTATAAATATCTCTTTTATAATTTGTATCAAATGAACATTTGAAATTTAATAGCTAATATTGCCCATTTTTTTGAATCTTTAACAAACTACTTCCTCAAATTTCTATTTGGATCTTTAACAACATCCTAAACAGATTTTAATTTAAAACGTAAGCAGGCAAAATCTTCTGTTAAAATCAGACATATGTCTATAAATTCAACACAAAACCATTACATATTTTCAATATCAGTATGTAACATGCTTCAGTGCTTTTACTGTCATATTTCATTGACAGTACGAAGCACATCAGACAATAAGTCTATATGAAAGATATTAGCATAGAATATTTATTTTCCAATAACAGGTCTTGAGTCAGCAAGGGATTACTAATTTGTTTAACTTCATATACTGCAAATAGTTCCACTTAAGTAGAACTGAAAGCAAATCAAATTAAGAGCGTACCTGAACTGCAGTATCAAGGTTAGAGTTAAAATATTCAATAGTGTTCCAAAGATGAACTATGATTACCAATACAGCTACTTCCATTATGTTTTTTATTGTTTTTAAGATGTTAAAAATAAGAAAATCAGTATTTCTTGTACATTGGTTTCTTCCTCTACCTACTTGCCTATGTTCCTCACCATCACTTTCACCTTAAACAAGTGTATAAGGAAAAAAAAGTCATGTACACACACACACACACACAAGTTTCTGTATTAATTATCATGAACAGTTGAACATTTAGTATATAAGTCTATAACTAATATGCTCATATGAAGAAAAATAAATATCAAATATTTTCCCTGATAGCATACATTACATTGTTCATCTATCTAAAACCTTAAAGGGAAATAATATAAGACCAAAAATTATTTTCCATCCCTCTCCTGCCTCTCATACTGGTAACACATATTTCATCAAATAATAATAAAATATTACATAATCAACTTCTTCAGTATAGATCTTTGATTCAAGCCCTGCTCAGTGCCCCATCTGGCAGAATATCACACTTGATGTCCCACTGAGGAAATCACTCTACCTTAAAATGCCTGTGAGATTTAAAATTCTGCTGAAAAAGATCAAACAGATGTGTAAAAGGAACAAATGCATGAGTCTTCCCAGTTTGTACTAAAGCTCCGGACCCTCAGGCTGATATTTAGGAGAAACTTGCATCATCTGTGCACCAGGCTGAGAAAGGAATACAACACTGTGCGTGCCAGAGACTGCTGGGGGATTCACAAAATAATTTACAGATCACAAAATTATGGGCCCAAGTGCAAAAACTACCAAGATTCTGAATAAAGTGAATCACACGGAAGCTGAGCACTCCAGCAGCACATTGGAAATTCCCAGTTTTCCGCTCTTTGAACCCCTATTATTTGAGCTAGCTACTTGGTAGAGACGCAATAGGCTCTAGAGCTATTATTAACAAAGGGGAAGAATACCAGATTTTATTTTGGCCTGTGGGAGACAAGTGTCATCTGGAGAATAAATAACACTTCGGTCATTTTAAAAGGTCGTGTTACACAAGACAGACTTTTGTTTCCTCAAAAGTGCATTTTTTGTGTGATAAGCAATCTGAAGTTATCTAATAAATAAATGTCTTCTGGTGTGTTCTTGATTTGCATAATTTACATTCTATTTTAGTAGCTTTTTATTTTATTTATTTTGATTTTATTTAAACCATAAAGAAATAATTAACATGAATGACCAAATCTGAACATATCTAAGCAAAATAAAGCAAACCTTCATAGTACTTTACCTATTACTATTTATATTGAATATAGTTGTCCTGTATTTGGCAGAAAGGGGAAAAATGTTATGAGCTTTGGTACAAGGAATCACCTTAAAAATGTAATGGGTACCATCACAGTGACAGGCAAGGCTACTGAAATTAAGGTTGTTTTTTGACAAAATAAGACAACAGGGTTAGGACTTAACATAAGTTTCATATGTTGTGCTGTACTCTTAGGTGTTAATTTATTGTGAGGTTGAGCACTTAAAGTGCTCTCAACAAATCATGTAATGAAGAAATATGAAGTAGACTGAATCAATGCGGATTTACACAATGGTGCATTTGTACAAGGCTATTCAAGTTCAGTTAGCTGAACAGAACATAGTCAAAGGCCATTTCCAGGAGCAGGAAATGGTGCAGACTTTGCAGCATGGTTTGCTCACAGTTGGCTTTTTTCAGGCCTTTAATTCCTTCTAAGAATTGCACAGGTACCAAAGCAGAAGTCAATCTGAAGTACCTATGTGAAAGTACTCCAGCTCGCAGACATAACTGAACTACATAAGTAGGGAAATCAGTTGCCTTTTCACTCTATTCAAACCCCACTCCAAATTACTACCTGAAATGCTCTTTGCTGAACAAATGTAAGAAAGGTTTTGAAACACAGGGGCCAGGAGCAAATACTCTTACAAGCCTTTATTTACCACTGAAAATAGGCTTCTTATTTTAAAAAGCTGCTTGTCTAGCATTTTTGAAAGAAAGAACACAGTGCTGGTCAGTGCTGGGCCCAGTGCTGTTCAACTTATTTATCAATGACCTGGACGAGGGCACGGAATGCACCCTGAGCAAGTTTGCGGATGACACCAAGCTGGGTGGAGTGGCCAACACTCCGGAGGGCTGTGCTGCCATCCAGAGGGACCTGGACAGGCTGGAGAGTTGGGCAGAGAGGAACCTCATGAGGTTCAATAAGGACAAGTGCAGGGTCCTGCACCTGGGGAGGAATAACCCCAGGCATCAGTACAGATTAGGGGTCGACCTGCTGGAAAGCACCTCCACGGAGAGGGACCTGGGAGTCCTGGTTGACACTAAGTTAACCATGAGTGAGCAGTGTGCCCTCGTGGCCAAGAAGGCCAATGGCATCCTGGCCTGCATCAGGAGGAGCGTTGCCAGCAGGTCAAGGGAGGTGATTCTGCCCCTCTACTCAGCTCTGGTGAGGCCGCACCTGGAGTACTGTGTTCAGTTCTGGGCACCCCAGTATAGGAGAGACGTGGAGCTTCTGGAGAGGGTCCAGAGAAGGGCAACCAGGATGATTAAGGGAATGGAACATCTCTCGTATGAAGAGAGGCTGAGTGAGCTGGGCCTGTTTTCTCTGGAGAAGAGGCGGCTCAGAGGTGATATGATTAATATGTATAAGTTCAGGAAGGGAGAATGCAGGGAGGAAGGGGACAGGCTGTTCTCACTGGTGGCCAGCGATAGGACGAGGGGTAATGGCCACAAGCTGGAACACAGGAAGTTCCGTCTCCAGGTGAGGAGGAACTTCTTTACTGTTAGGGTGACAGAGCAGTGGAACAGGCTGCCCAGGGAGGTTGTGGAGTCTCCTTCTCTGGAGGTCTTCAAAACCCGCCTGGATGCCACCCTGTGCCACGTGCTCTAGGTGTGCCTGCTTGAGCAGGAAGGTTGGACTAGATGATCTGTAGAGGTCCCTTCCAACCTTAAATATTCTGAAATATTCTGAAATATTCTGAAACACCATTTTGTCCGGCTGCTGTACCATTTTACAGATGTAAATTATAAATACATAACTCCAATGCAGCATTTAAGATTAAAAAAAGAAAACATCCTCAAGACACCTTTTCAGAAATTGCCTCCATAAAATATCAAAGCTTTTTTATTATAGTGTACCCAGAAACCTTCTTCTTGGTTTGAGCAGCAATTTTTCCAGAATGGACAAAGAAAACTCATCTCGTACTGCTCACAGTCAATCACTTCAGGTTTAACAGTTTTGGAACAACTCTCTCTGTCAGACATCGTCAGTCAGCGCAACTGCTACTGGCTCTCCATCGTTTCATCCCCGTTTAAACATACGACCCTGCATTTAATAAATACTACCTTGTTCTTGAAAAATACCTTCTTTTTTTTTGTATAACAAAAATGTCTTAACTTACTTGAAAGTCTTTCTCTTCCAGGATCTCTTTCCTCCACCTGACAAGGAAGGCAGCACAGACGTACAAGTGGAAGTGAGAAAAACCCTCTGGTTCAGACTGAAAAGAAAATAGCATTTCAATGTACAAAGTCACAGTTTTCATCAACATACTTAAAACCTTGTATATTTTTATGCCACTTAATACCAACTAAAAAAGTCAACTAAATCTCTTGTGGATGGATTGTATCCATCCTGAAATACTGTATTATGTAGATCAACATTAAAGCATGAATGTGTACTTCATCTCCATTAAGTGTGGTAGTTTCATTTTATATTAATAGAGCTTTTTGATTACAAATTCTGCTATGTTAGGTTATTAACATTTTCTGAACATACAACTTTGTCAATATTTGCCTAATTGAAAGCTTCTCACTAAAGAACACTCTCCTGATAAACAAAAGTTCCAGTTCTCCACCTCGTAGCACAAATAAAGCCTTTAGCAACTAAGATTTCTATACACATTTGGTCTTACTTCCAATCACCAGATATATTCACTTTAAAAAAAGTCTTACTAGAAATTATTTTTTTCATGATCATTCCAGAGAATTTAGACAAATACGAGATTCTACCTTTAAAAGACCTCATTGATTAAGTTTTTGGATTTTATTTTCTCCATCCACTTGGAATTGAAAAATCATTATGACACTAAATTATCTGTGATCGCTGTGCACTAATGCTACATAATTCTCATCTCTCATAAATCTCATTAAAATACCATTTAAAAATAATTATGAAATTAACTACAGAATTTGACAAATGCAGGGATATTTAAATGCCGATGTCTAAATAATCCATAATATCTCCTAAATATATCTTCTTAAAACACAGTAAATTTTTTTTCATATCCTAAGTCGTTTCAAAAATTGCAGCTTATTGGGAAATACACAGTATTGAACTAAAACAACATGCTCTTTCATAATATTCATAAAACTGTACAGCAAACCCCACTGCAATGGACGGTGGAGTAGGAAAGGATTTCTTCTCGCAGTATTTTCTTGTTCTCCTCCACCTTTGACTGATAAAAGTTACTTTTCTGAAGTGGAGGAGGTTGGTACAAACACCACAGTCATCCTGTCCAAACTTTTAAGAGTGAATATGAGATGCCCGTTATTTTCAGATAGGTTTTAAGTTTTAAAGTGTACTTTGAGATGAAAATAGAAATGAATTACATTGGGAAATAGAAAAAAGAATATTTTGATTATGAGATATTTTTCCTTTTCTAGGAAAACTGTGCTTGAATAACATGATAGCACAATATAAAATCTTGGGACAAACAGAACATAGTTTTAGTAAGACTCCGTCTGGAGCTTGTTTGAATCAGTCAAAGTCCAATTTACAATGTTAAACTAAATTTTACAGAATTCAATATCATGTATTTATTGCTATTCTCCTGAAATATCCACATTTTTTACTTTAGCATTGGCATTTTCCTCAGAATGGAAAGTTAATTTATGTAAAAACATAAAAATAATACCTCAAGAATATATAGTTGAAAGAAAATTGATGCTACCACTTATCATATGAAACATGACTCTGGCAGTATTTAAGAAATTTCCTGACGTCTAAAAGTGCAGAATGTCTATTTAAAGAAAACAACTATTTGGTAAACAAAGTTTACAAAGCTTGCAATACTTTCTTTCTTAAATTAAGTCTTTGATACTTATATAGCATTTTCTTAAAAAAAAAATCAATAAAATATTTAAAGTTTCCCTAAATGAAGTCTGGAAATTCTTGTTTTCTAGTTTTTCTTAGTACTGAGTTACAATCAAATTCTCACATTCTTTTATAAATTAAAAAAAAATCTTGTTAGCAGTAGCTTTTAGGTTAACATTATATGTTTATATTTCTGTGCAATTCAGAATATGGTCTTGTAAAAATGACACCTTCTTCAAGACTGGGAGGTAAGCAGGATGTAAAGTCCAATGCAGTCTTTAAACCTATCCCAAAGGTTTATGCTGTTTTTGGTGAAAAATTTCTGACACAGTAAGAACTAGCTCAATGTCTGAAAATATAGGAAAAGTTAGAATAATTTGGTGGACTACACTGTATGTTTACCTAAAGATCTACTCTAAAGAACTACTTTACGGAATGGGTAAGTGTGAAGAGGAGGGGATCAGCTCAAGCATTTGTAATTAAAGAAGGACTGTGATGGTTATGGGATGGAGGCTTGGATAGAGGTAGCAAATACAAGTGGGCTAAGACTGTTGAACAGAAAAAGAAATGAACAGAAATGCAGATGACAGCAGATAATGAATAAAACTATCTTTGTAGAGATAAAGAATAAATCTTTGTAGACAAAGAAGTAGAAAGTTGAATATTCTGCAGGTGGAAAAAAAAATCAAGACTATGTCTTTCAAGATGAGGGGATGACAGTAGAGTAAGAATCAGGCGATGAAAAAGAAAGTAGAAATAAAGTCAATAGCTAACAAACAAAATTGCCTGCATTAAGATAGAAGTTGTTAAAAGCTATAAAACATTAGCCAAAATAAACAGAAATAATACATAAAATGGGGCACACAATCCATTCTGTTGCCCCCAACCCAAAATGAATATAAACTACTTAACAATTTTAAAAGTATACTTTAAATTTGTCCAAAAGAAGGACATTACACAACATCCTTAAGGAATTCAGTTCAGCATGTCTTGGCATTTTTCCCCATTCTATAAGTCATTCTTGCCTTGTTCATTCAGAAAAGATTAATATTCAGGATATTTTATAAAATAGATTTTTTGTTATCTTTGCATAAAATAATAAGGTTTAAATTTCTTTTATTATACCATATGAGCAAGAAAGATGGACCTGAAAGGAACATTTATTTTCCTCCAGTGCCAGTATTAATACACACGAATCCTCCATTTTCCATCCCACTCAGAGGAAAAGGGACAGTGACCAAAGGAATCTGTCTAGACATTGCTTTCAAAGTCAATTTTCAGTAATGCCTCAAAATTGTTTATTTTGCTCTCTATTACAGTGACTCACAAAACTATATTACAAAACAGTCAAATAAGATAATCATAGTGTTCCTTTTCTGACAATAATTTAAAATTCTGAATATAAGCCCAAGAATTTAGTTTATTATCACAGTCATAAACTTTCACAGCCAGAAGGTCAAAAAAAAAAAAAAAGTTTAAAAAATATAAAAGCAAATACACTCAAAACGTTAATTATAAAAATTGAAAATGTTTGTGAAGAAATGCAGAAACAACATCTGGAAGTATATAAAAACCTTTGTTTTCTCTTGAAAATTTTCTATGCAGCCTTTCTTTGCAATACAATTTTCTTCAGCTCTTTTAAATGGAAGCAAATAGGTTTAAATATGCAATTCATTAGAGAAAAAATGCATATTCCCTATAGACTTAAAAATTCATCACGCTTCAGAGATAAGACGAGGCTACAAAGTATTTTCAATGGATAGTTTCAGACAGTTTTGAAAATTGAGTAAAACAGCTAATGCATAATTGCCTTTTCCAACACCTGCTACCTATTATACTTTTCCATTTGTAGCTTTTGAACTTACAAATAGTTTGATCTCTAAATGTACAAAAATGCAGACTACAAGCTAAAAGCTCTTTAAAATCAAATATAAACAATGACCTTGATTTAAATATTTTAGCAAGAGATCTCAAGACAGATGTACAGCCTTTCCGAAGACTTACTCTGAACATATTACCAACGACTCAGAGCACATTATCTAAGAACTATCTGTCATTATCAATAAAAATCATTTAGATTGTTAACATCACAAAACTGCTTTTCCATGCAAAAGCTGGATTTCCTCGGCGGCTGAAATGAAAGGCATTCGTTATACTGCACTCCCCAAACTTCTTGAATTAGATGATGACTGAGAGAATACGTGTGCAAAATCTGCAGTAAGACCAGCCTGATCATTGCCTAGTCAATGATTAGTCTAACCTGCCTTCTATGCCCTGGATACTTTAGCATTTGAAAAGGTATCTCACGGTAGCAAATTTGTCACCAGAATCACAGAATCCCAGAATGGTTGAGGCTGGAAGGGACCTCTAGAGCTCAGCTAGTCCAATTCCCTGCTCCAGCAGGGACACCCAGAGCACGGGGCACAGGGTGGCATCCAGGTGAGTTTGGAAATACGTGGTTATTTTTGAAGTTCCCGATATGATTAATGCTGTGTGCTAGGGATATTGAATACACTGAAGTACTGAACACACTGCATTTCACACTCAAGGACTACCAAGTATTCTATGGCTACAGATGAAGAAGGCAAATTATATTGTTCATAATTATTATGCTATCACAAAGAGCAAGCAACACGGATGCAAAGATTTTTAAGCATTTTATTTTAAATATCTAAGAAAACTATGGCAGAAAGAAAAAGCAGCCATCCTAGGATCACCATGGAGAGTGCAGCATGTTGGCTTATCCTCCAAAATTTGTGTTTTCCATCAGTTATGGCTTTGACCTCCAATGCAGCAACACGATGAGCTATCAAAACTCAAGTTTTCAAACAGTCTGATGGTCAACACAGCACTAGCACATGGCCCAGAAGTCCATCTACCTAACTGTCCTATCTTCAGCAGTGACGCGTCTATTAACAGACTATTAATAGACTGTATAAAATCAGTGCAAGCATAAATAAATAGATGGATAGATAGATAAATATCAGTACCTCCCCAGAACACTTGTCTGCCCTTCAGTGATCTCCTGCTCAGTCATCTCTTTAAGACATGCTGTAAAGTATTTGCATTTAATAGCCAGCAATGAGGTTGGCTTCACTGATCTGCCCAAAGTCCTGTGGCAAAGAATTCCAACATGTAAGTAACGTGCTATATAGCAGGTCTGTTTTGAGCCTCACATGCAATAATCTTAATGTAAGTACTCACTTACTTCATTGAATGAGAAGAGGAACAACCATTCCCTATTCCTTTTATTCATGCAGCCTTTATTCCTTTTATATCTCTTACTATTTTCCCCTTTGTCTCTTTTGCAGACTAGACTGCTCATTACACACGAACAGGTGCTGTCACATTTGCTTGTCTTTCTTCTGCATCCTTTCCTATATTTTTCCATTTTGAAATAGGCCC